AGGCGGCTCCAGCCACCCCGGGCGTCCCGGCAGGGGGCAGCGCCCCCGCGTGCCCGCTGCTCCTGGCCGACAAGAGCCCGCCGGGCCTGAAGGGCAAAGAGCCTGTGGTGTACCCCTGGATGAAGAAGATCCATGTCAGCGCCGGTACGTGGCGCCGCTGGGGAGGCGCGGGAGGGTGGGCTGGGGCCGGGCCGGGGTTCGGGGGTCGGGGCGAGGGTCAGAAGAAGAGGCTGAGGGGGAAGGGGGCCTCTGGAGGGGAGCCCCCATCTGGCCCGAGCTACAGTGGGATGTGGGTGTGTGCGCGCCAGCCAGCCGCCTGATCCTAACGTGAGAACCCTTTTGTACCCGGGGTCCCTTTATCGAGAGATTTACGAGACGCCAAACTGTTAGGGCAGTAATTATAGCCCCCATAAATTTAATTGCCCTGGCAGAGGCTTCAGGCCATGTGTCTTTGAAGCTTTTCTTCAGCCCCAATGCCCAGCACCATTCTTTATGGCTCTCGGGTGTTTCCCGTTGTCAATAGCCTGTGAAACATTTTCTTTGCCGTTTTATGTATCTTGCGTGAACTTGGTGTCAGGTTATTATATAATGATGATGTCCAATTGCTCTTCCCCACCCCACCTTCTCTCTCCTCCTCCTTTCCCTCTCTTCCACTCCCTCCTCCTTGGCCTTCTCCTTCGGGGTTATGGGCGTTCAGTCAACCCCAGTTATAACGGAGGGGAGCCCAAGCGCTCTCGAACCGCATACACCCGACAGCAGGTCTTGGAGCTGGAGAAGGAGTTCCACTTTAACCGCTACCTGACCCGGCGGCGCCGCATCGAGATCGCCCACACGCTCTGCTTGTCCGAGCGCCAGGTCAAGATCTGGTTTCAGAACCGGAGGATGAAGTGGAAGAAAGATCACAAATTGCCCAACACTAAGATGCGATCCTCCAACTCGGCCTCGGCCTCAGCAGGCCCCCCAGGGAAAGCACAAACTCAGAGCCCGCACCTGCATCCCCACCCCCACCAGGGTGCCTCCACACCCATTCCCTCCTCCATATAATCTTCTAGAGATCTAGACCAGTTTCATTCCCCCACCTGCTTTCCCTCCTTCTTCTGCCCTTTTCCCCATACTCCTACCTGTCTGGACCATAACAGACCCCAAAACAAAACCCAACTTGGTGAAAAGGATAATAAAAAAGAAGACATTATCCCGGTAAGAGTGTGTGCTGGTTGCCACCAAAGAGAGGACAATAGCCAGGATGCTGGCTGATGGAACAACCTGCTGGCCTGAATAAGGCTGCCAGGTTTGGGTACCTGAGAAGGACCACTTGGCAACAAATACTTTTGAGATGGCTAAAGTCAGCTGGACAGCCTATGCTGACTGGGGACATATACATGTATATTTGTTGCAAGCAGAAGAAAACAGACCCTTTTCCCACCTTCCCTACCTCCCCCTTCCACATTAAGGCAGCTCATACAAGCTTGTATTGAACTGAATAAATGAGTAGACATTGTGGACCTCACAAGATTATTTAATTCTCAAAATGTATAGACCTTGATGGTAGATGTGACACATGTTAGTTTCCTTTCTTTGCATTTATTTAAAATATTGTTGTAGAGTTGTTGTTGTCTTATTCTGAGGCACAATCTCGGGGGAGAGGGGAGTGCATTTAGACCCATGTGCAACTGTACAAATTGTGGTGTGGCTATATAAAAAAGCCATGTGCTAAGAATAAATTCTGTTTAAAAAACCATTAAAGTTCTAAGACACATTTGTGTGTTTCCTACTTTTAATTAAAAAAAAAAAACCCAAAATTCTCTGGATTGAGATGTTTGACCTTGCATGTAAAAATCCTATAGATGGCTTGAGTTATGTTCACTTGGATTCTCACTGCTTACGTAATTTGTGTGAGTGTGTTCAACTTGAGCTGAACTTTTGTCAAGTTTGACCCACTGTGGGAAAAGTTCCAAAGAGCAGGGAGGCTCTTGAGCTCTGAGAGGGCTCCTCTTCTTCCCAAACTTGGCCAGGCTTTCAGGCTTCAAGTCTCTGTAAGGCATAGAAACGTGTCCTTCCCTGCAATGAAAGGTGAAACCACGCAATGCTGAGGGCCCAGGGGTTTCTGCAGCTGTTCTACATGCTGAACTCTGAGCACACTTGGAAAGAAGTGGTCCCTTTGGTATTTATTGCACCTTCACACTTAATCTGCCTGTTTCCCTGGAGATAAAAAAATAGTTTGTGCAGAGAGTTGAGATTGCTTTTTGTTTCTTGGCTATTTTTAAGGTTCTCTTCACTAACTACAGCTTGGGGATTTTTGTTTCTCTTTCTCTCTTTCTTTCTTTCTTTCTTTCTCTCTTTCTTTCTTTCAGAAGCAAGAGCTTTCAAAATAAACTGAATTTTCCCGGTAGACCCTCCAAAGTTTCTCTGAGGAAAGAAAAAGCATAATGACACTCCCAAAATGTACCCCAAGCAAGGTAGACCTGGGAGTATTCAGTGCTGGAAAAAAGCCAAATTCTGAGCTAGGGTCACTTTCCTCAAATGCTCCTGGATCTTTCTGCCCAATCTAAAGAGCTAGATTCAAAGGTTGAAAATCAAAGCCCACATCTCAATCTCTGTAACTCTAGTATTTATTTACTGATTTACAAAGCAGTAAAGAGGATTTAGACTTGGTTGTCACTGAAGGGAGGATTCTGCAACACGATGCAGAAAACCAACACACAGCAGCCCCAGAATATAACTGTCACCTGGCCATGAATGGGTGCAGAATTTAATTCATGTTATAATTTTAGCAGAGATGGGAGGGGGCGCTCACCTACCTTTGCTATACCAGAGGATTTTTAAACACATTTTCCCATCAGGGGCAAACCCTTAGCCGGCGGCCAGTGCTGTTCCTCCTTTTGCCGCTGTTGCCCTATGTGTGATACTGGCAATGATGATCAGTTGCCTACCTATGAACAAGCCACCTCTAGGAGGAGAGTGGTGGACACCAGTCTCTGAGGGGTTTCCACCTCTCCCCAAGAAAATTCAGGGGCAAACGAATACACGCCTTCCCAAGCCAGGCCAAAACTGGCATAAAGTGCATTTTATCCGGTGTGAACGGGTGCCAGGGATTTCTGGAAGCACTGCAACTGTGCTGAAACTTATTAACCCTCCCCCTACAACACGCACTTGTAAAACGAAATTAAATCACGCTGAAAATAGCAATTTTCCCAGGAATCATTAATCACCTCATACAATAAATACTTCTTTGTAATTCAACAGCAATTCTGAAAGGCATTCTCTGGGAAAAGTCTGTGGAGAAGCGAGGGATCTTCTTGCAAATAATATGGTCTCGGGCAAAGATGCAGAATCTTGGCTGTCTGCTCAAAAAATGCCTAGACTCTTGGTGGAAATTGAGTGTCGAGCTGCAAAACCTCAAATGGCAGATTATCATCATGTAAGGTAAATTCTTGTATTTCTTCTCTGTAGGGAAGGAGGGTATAGGGGCATTCATTAGCTTCCTACTGGAGGCAGTTATATGGGGATGAAAGGGATAACTTTCTTTCACTTACTCTTATAGTCTATCCAGGAAAGGAAGAGAAAGGATCGAAAGATTGTTTTTCTGATTTACCAGGAGAAAATGGCATTTTTGTCCAAACTGTCTTGATTATGAAGGTATCGGTAAGTTTTGCAAAGCCAAAATTATCCAAAATGACCCAAACAATTATATCATTTCTTTACAGTGTTTTGCCTGTTTTAGATTTGCTCTGTAAGGGAGCTTGTTATAACAGCTTAGAAAATCCCACTTTGGGCTTTAAAATCAGGCATTGTCTTCCCTTTGCTAGGGCAACCATAAGAGTTCACCCAGAGGACAAATTTTCTATCTCATTAATTGTTTTTTTTTTTTTTTAAAGCGAACCCTAGTGGCCCCTCAAACCCTTGACCTTTAAAGACAGTATTTTGTGTAAGCTCTATAATTCTACCAAAATGACCCTTACACATGCTCTCCTCTTCTTTTTCTCTTTCTCCCTCCTTCCCTCTAACACATACTCCCTTGCTTTAGTCACAGAGCCAAGCTGTGCATGACTCTGGAGATAAAAGTTTTTCAACATCTGAAATCAACTTAAATCGGATAGGAGACACTTTAATGGTCACAGTTTGAATTAAGTACTTAACACTCTCCCCCCTGAAGAAAAATGGCACTTTGCAGGCTCTCTTTCCTAGTTTTGCTGAAATCTACGATATACCCGGTGTTTTATTACAGCGGGAATTCAACTGTGACAGGCATAGTAGAGTACTTAATACCCAGGATGGAGCTCATGGGAAGATTACCTAGACATATAGGGAGTGGGCCCTCTGCACAGCATCTCTAACTCTATACCCAGCTATACCCGGGTGCCCACATTCCCCCCACCTCTCAGCTTCCTCCCCATGGGGTGGGGATCACCATCTCTACTCTGTCTCCTTGCTCTCCTAAGCATCCAAACTGTGCTGCTCTTCTCACCACTGCCTTCTCTCCAGCAGTTTCAACATAGAAACTGATCAAGGACTCTTTAGAATGAAAGGAAAGAAAGACCCCAAAGAATCAACGAAGCAAACAGAAACCTGGGGCTTCCCATCTGAATGGATGGGACTTCTGTGCAAGCAGTGGGGCTGTTGGTCTGCATCCCTAGCCTGGGTCGTGTATTGAAGAACATAGGCTCACCCTTCCCAAGGGCTGTTCCTGTTGCTCCTTCTCTGTATTGTACACCATGGGCCCAAGAATAACTCTGCTTCCTCTCTCAAAAGGCTATGGGCTGGGAAAAATAGGAGGAAGAAAGGATGTGGGTTCTAACTTCTTGATAGCATCAGGGAGGCTGCTGGGGCTGTTATGAAACATTCTAGCCTGAACCTTCTGTCTTGGAATTCTGGCTCTCTTCTTCTCAAGGCCCCAAACTGATGGAGTAACTCCCCCCACCCACTCAGGCCAGCTCCCCTCTCTCTGGACTTGATTTCTGGGGTTAAAAGAGTTCCCTGTTTGAAAGAATGTCTGAAAGATTTGGAGGCCATTTTGGTTCAGTCTTCTCAGTTTACCCATGAGGAAACTAACTAAGGCAGCTCAAAGTCCCCCCCATGTTCATGTTGATGAATGTGTAGGTTGGATAGAGCCTTTGGTCTCACCTTGGAGAGGGGTAAGTGCACAACCATCTTTCCTCTGCGGAAGCCTATTCTGCCTGGAATGGACGTGGGCATCTGGGCTTACGCTTGACATGGATGGCCACAGGTGTGCCGCGGACAGGGAAGAAGGCTGGGTTCTTGCCTGATGCACCGGCAAAGCGCCCCAGGAGATTATGTAACCAAAGCGCCTTAGCCAAGACGCTGAGACAAGTGGGCTCTCCTCTGGGCTCAGGAGGGAATAGACGCCATGGTGCCTGGGAGAGGGGTGGGCACCCCACTGTCCACAATGCTTACAGTTCCAGAATGACTACTTCTACTCTGCTGGCCCTGGGATTTTCATGGCAGTCGCTGGCCTCGGAGTTGAGCAAGGAGCAAGGGGTTTGCTTCCGGGGGCCTGGGAACTAAAAGAGCCAAACAAGGACGGTGGTTGCTGCAGATAAAGGTGTTAGCGCCAGTTCGAGGGAGATATTGAAATTGTAATCTTTTGAGGTCACGTGACTCATTAAATAATTAATGCGGATCGTCAGGAATGGATCGGAGTCGTCAGGGCCTCACTAGGAATGAATCTCTCAGAAGTGAGACCCCCCAACTTCCTATTTGATTTTTAAAAAACACACTCCCTCAGATTTATCTCCAAAGGCTTTTAACTCCTTCAGGGGGGCTGAAGAGAGCCCTTCGGCGGGGAGGACCGGAGCTGGCGGGCCCACGCTGGGTCTTGGGGCTTTTTCTTCAGGGTTTCTGCAAGTCCGGGGAGCGCGCCGTGTCCGGGGAAACGTGAGTTTGGGCTGGGTTTTCTACGGTCACATCCTGGCGTTAGTGATGAAGTGGGACGGATGCGCAGACAGTTGGTAATGTTCTGATTCACACTGGGGAAGGCTGCAGAGATACCACAGGACCCGCGCGCGGCTTTGTTCAATTTTCCCGGTGTTCATAAATCACCCGCGCCGGGCGAGCGAGGGAGCAAGCGAGCGCCAAAAACGCCGAGAGAGAGGCCACGCGGCGGCGGCGGTGGCCATTGCAGAGGGAGAGACCTGGGCAACATCTCTTTGTGACTCATTAGTCTGAACGATTTATGGGGAACAGCAACCATGAATATTTGACTTGGGGATAAGGAAATAGCAACAACAATAATAACCATAATAATTACAATACTCCTAAGCGTCGTTGGGGGCCGGGGAGGGGGTGACGGATGGTGGCATAGCGGATCTTTCTGGAGCGAAGTTGAATAGCACCGAGAAGGGTAGCTAAGCCCCACCTTGCTCAGAGTCACTCCAGGAGCTCCAAGGCCGGGGGCACTCCCTTTGGGGATAAAGAGGGCGAGTTTGAACAAGAGAAAGGGGACTCTGAACATGGACTCTGAGTCCCAAGTGCCTGATGGAGGGGTGGGGGCTGCAGGTCGAGGTGGTGGCAGAGGGCAACTAGTTGCTGGTTTGTGGCCACTTGTTCAATGTGCTGGGGGACCCTGAAGCCTGAGGGTCAGGGGGCTTGTCAGCTATTTGGTAGCCTCTCAGGCTCTCAGCGGGATTGCATGGGCTGGAGACAGACTTGGAGGACTGGTTTGGGGCAGGCTGGCGTGTGGGGAGGCTACCCAGGCTTGGGTGAAAGGGTAGTGGGGGATAGGGTTGTGGGAGCAACCTGCCCAACAGAGTCCCAGCCAGCGGAGAACTTCTCCAAGCCCGAGTTCAGCACGGAGGATGATACTTTCCTCCCTTCCCCAACGTCTTCTCTCCATCCCCGGAAAGTTGACTGACCATTTGCTAGAGAGCAAGAGGGGATTGCAAATATCTTGAGGGATGAGTTGGCAGCGGAAATAGGGCATCGGTTGGCTTGTCGCTGCTGCGTAAGGCCAGGCTGGATAGGGCCCCCAGACCGGGTGTTGTCCGATGTCTGCATCCTTGCCATTTCCCCCCTATTTCCAACAGCCAAGGTTGGCCTGTTCTGAGGGACCGGGCGCTGCGGTAGTCCCGCCGAACCACTGCGACCGAGAAGTGGCGCACCCAGGGCTTGAATGAACCAGAAGACAAAACCTCTCAAGACTGCCCCCCTGGCCCAAGGACTGAGCCGGGGTCTAATTTCGCGCCACACAGAAATGAACACTATTAGTGAGGTTTCAAGAGAGTCGGTGATTGAATGCTCCCAGACAGGGCTTCCCTTTGTTAGCGAAAGAAAATAAAGCGTGCATTCACATTCTCCAAGTTGAGGTGCGTGAGGAGCTCTCGGAGCAGAGCTGGCCCCAATGGCAAAGCGTCCCCCACCTTCCCATCTTCCTCCGCCTGTCCGTTTTCTTCCCCTGACCCCCTTCCCTCACCGCACCCCCCCGTAAAAAGAAAGAGGAGAATGTGGTGCGGAGATGGAGTATGTATTTATTTTACAAAAATAAATCACCATCTTCGGGCCATTCTTAGACTGGACCCTTACAAGCAACGAGTGCGCCTCATGGACAAGTGCCCTGGCGACTCCTCCGCGGCCGCGTCACCCCGGGGGCCACCCCGGTGCCCGCGCCGGCCGCACTTCCAACTCCGGCTCTCCAACTCCCTTCCTTCGCAGCCACCGTTTACGCTCTGCTGTTTATTTGTCCGCAGAGCGCCAGGACACCGGAAAAGGCGATTCCCTGAGTGCCAGGGGTCGGAGACAATCACCGGATCAGTCTTCAAGATCTTTCGAGGTAAGCGCGGCGCTAACTCCTCACTCCGCCGGGCTTTGCACGGGCCTTTGGAGGGAGTTTACTCCTCCAGGGAGCTGCAGAGCTCTGAAAGAGGTTCTGGTCAATATTTAACTTCGAAGGCATTTTGGAGCTGGGTTCCCTTTAGCTGCACTCCCTGCGAATGCGGGGCTTCAGGCAGACAAAGAGTCGGCCCCGAGAGCCGCCCGGAAAGCCGCCTGGCGTTGTGCAGGAGGGGCGCTTGCCCAACCAAAGATGTGTGTGCGTGGGGGTGGGGGATGTCAACGGGGTGTGTTTCTTTCTTCGGGTAAGCTCCAAACAGACCACTACACCGAGCAGCGGGGCGGAGGCAAGTAGAGGCCACGGGCGCGGCGGCCGCTGCGTGGGCCGCTCGCCTTGTCGACTGTTTGCAGCGCCTGCGGAGACTTGTGAGTTCGGGAATGGTCGTCAGGCACGGATCTGCGTGGAGGAAACTTGTCTCGACGCCTTGCAGTTTCTCCTATCCTTCTGCCTTTCCTTGGCAAGAGGGAAGTTACTGCCTTTCAAATGTGTAGACCGTCGCAGGCAACGGGTCTTCCCCGTTCCTTGAGCCGGGCTGATCCTCCGTTCTTCCAACAGGAAAAGCACGGGTCTTCCAGGTCTCTGCGTTTTCTTTTCCTACGGGAAACAAGAGAAAACTCTTTCAAATTCTTTTCAAGTTCTGGCTTAATTTGTTCTCTTAGTTTGGGGATGCAGGGGGGTAATTACTGTGGTTTATTACCTTGTAAAAGATCCATAAATTTCGTGCCTATTTGGGGGAGGGGCTGCTGGAATAGCTTTCAGAATGTTGGTAGGAAGGAATGGGTTTGCTTTGTTCTTTCAGGAGTTATTTATTTTAAAAAAGTTTTCTGAGTTTTTGTTTTGTGTTCCCTAGGCCTCTGTCTTCCCCCAAATTTGCTCCCCAAATAGATATCAGGTTGTTAATTAATTGCAACATGCTATTCAGCAACACTCTAAGGCTTATATGGTGTTCTGGACACAATTATTATTTTATCAGATGGAAAGTAAACAGGGTAATAGTAAAGCTAGGTTACTTTCTCAGCGACTGTATGACCATTTATATCAAGTATAGGTGGAGTATTTCAGGAATTTGCAACTCAGGGTGTAGGTAAGATTTGCATCTCTGTGCACAACAGAACCATTGCATGTATACATAGTTGCAGGAGTTTTAGACCATGTGTATAAAATGATATACACATCCATATGTATCCAGAGAATTTGGAGCCCATTTGTACTGCAGCTGCACCCACCGGAAATATCTCATGTTAAATAATGATCTATAATCTCCACCAAAAAAAAAAAAAAAAAAAGGTGGGCTAAGTGGGTCTTACCTGATGCTAAGTAGCAAAACCACTACAGTTAACTAAAGGGAGAAAAATGTTAAGTGTATTTTTGACAGAGAAATCAGATTGCAGTGTTTGAATACAGATATATCTAATCTGCCAACAGCCTTGCAAATATTGACTAAAGCTCTGTATCCTTGCTCACCTGCTCCTTCCAAGACAACTTTCCACCTATTTTGGCTCTGGTGAAGTGGATCCAGGGCATGTGTACCCAGCACTGGTCAGGTTGGGGCCTGGAGGAGTAAGTGGAAAGGGATTGGTTCCCCAGCCTGGGCCTACATACTTGAGCATCTAAAGTCTTGTTCTCTGGAAGGGAACTTTAAAAGGCCCATAGCCTTACTCAAGGAGAGTGGATTTCAGAGTGGTGAGGGAGGACTCTCAGCTGCTGGTTCCCTGGTGGCCTGCCCAGACCAAGGTCTCTCTTAGGGAAGCCGTTTTCACCTCAAAAGTTAAATTTCCTTTGACTTCCTCGGATTTTTTCCCTTCACATCCCACCAAATCACCCCACTCCAACCCAAGTCGTTAATGTTAATTGTTAAACAGTGGTTGGAGCATTAACTGAGCTGTTAATAGCGTCATGGAGGCTCCTGGCTAGAGCTGAGATGCTGCCGTTGGGCCTTGCTGGCGTTAAGGCATTTCTCTGAAGCAGTACCAAATACTTCTGCCATTGATTTATGGCCTCAGTTTCGATTTGCTCCAGACTATTCTGAGAGTTCTGAAGGGGGCCCCTTCTCATCTTTGAGTTGAAGTCTCTGCAGAAACTTTGGTTGGAGGAGAGGGTAGTTTGCCAGCAATTTGGCAATACTTCCAGGTCCTTTTCTAGGCTATCGGGAGAGTTCAGTGTGAAATATTTGGCACTGGTGGGGTGGGAGGCTGTGCATAAGGGGAGCAGAGGACAATGTATTAGTGGTCTGAATCCTTGGGGGACTGGAGAGTGCTTTTTGGGTACCAGCTTTTGGTCCTATCTCCCAACCCCATACCTAAGAGAAGCAGGTTTTCACTTTGGGTTCTCACTTTCCAGCTTGTGGCTTAGGTCAGAGTTGGGACAGTTCACAGAGAGGTTCTCTCCCAGCTCTACCACAGACAGAACTTTGTTGGAATACTGCCACCAGGATAGGCCAGGGCTCACTTCCAAGGGATTAGGTCTTCTCCTCTTTTATTGCCCTTCTGATTTGGACACCCCCTTGACCAGGCCCCCTTACTGAGGGCCTGACATTCTCACCAGGTCCCTGCAGGGGAGGAGGGGAGGGGCGGAATCATGCTCAGCCTCCTGCAGCTGCTATAAGTGAGTCCTCACACTTAGAGAGGCCTAGCCAGCTAGCTGAAGATCCACTCTAAAGAAAGGAAAGAATAAGGCATGAGGATCTCACCACTTCCAAGAGCACTCCCAAAGTTTGGAAACTAAGACCTGAAAAGAGGAACTTTTTAGGCAGCCCGTGAGAGGGTGAAGTGTTAAAATCAGTGGACAATGTCACCAAGCAGATCTCAGGAGTAGAACATGGGGCTTATTTGTTTCAGCCAGGTTCATCCAGAGCAGAGTTGGTCCAGTTCATTTTCTGCTGGCGGACAGACTTGTCTTAGGGGTGGGTGGACAGACCCATGTGCAAGGAAGGTCCCAGGTTATCTTGTAGGTTAATTCAAGTGATGCCAGTAAAGGTTGGTTGTATATATATATATACACATATATAGATATATACACACATATATATCTTTTTTCTCTTGCAGAGTCAAGTAGGTCATTTCACCTTATATTTTCCATTGTTAGAAGCCTGCAATTTCATGTATCACTCCCGCTATGCACTGAGGAAATGCACCAGTGTAGGTTTAGCCAGGGCACTGGGTCCCTCCATATTTTGCAAAACCCTGACCCACCACTCTAGAGCTAAGCATCTCTTTCCTAGAGGGCTCCCATTGAACAAAATCAACTGGACTTGGGGAGGTGCTTTAGCCTTTTGTCAGGTAATTTGGGGCCTTTTAGGTTTCTCCATTGGTGTGGTGTATGGTGTGGGTGTTAGCAAACTCCATACAATGGCAGGCCATGAGGGGGTCCACCAACTAAGCCAGTCATTACTGGGTTTTCTTCTGGAAACAAGGCCTGGGCTTTGCCTTTTGATGCACTGGCTAGTGGGCCAGAGGAGACTAGAGTACTTGGGTGTGCAGGCTTCAGCTTGTCTGTGAGTGGAAGACTATAGAAAGTTACATGAACTCTAAGAATGGGGATAGCATTGCCGTTCCCTTCTGTTTGGATCATTTGTAAAGAAATGTAAGTGGAGATAAGTGGCCTAGTGTGGCACATGTTGAGGGGGGATGCCCCAATTGTCCTACTGCCCTAGATGGAAACTCTTCCCCACTGCTGACCAAGGTTCCCCACTTCCCCTCCCCCAAAGCTGAATGTTCTGCTTGGAAACCTAGTCCCTTCAGTGATTCCCTATTTCAAATAAAAGGATTTAAGTTGACGTATGACCACGTGAGCACATAATACAGCGCATTATTGTGGCATTTGGAGCGGAGACCCGGGCGGGCTTCGCCTGTGATTACGTTTTCTAGATTCTCTACAGAGCGAGAGCTTTTTTCCCCCACCCCCACGCACCCACCTCCTCCTTCTCCTTCCCCTTCTCCGGAGAGCGCTCTCCTAGCGGGTTGCAGTTTTCAGCGCTCATGGAGCGGTTCTGGGCGAGCTAGCCGATGGGACTCGAGGCCACACCAGGAGGATGGAATTTATTTTAAGGTATTTCCGCTGATTGTTCATATCTAGAGTGAGTTATGGCTGTGAGAGACAAAGGTCAGGCGAGGAGACCCTGGTTCACCGACAGGACCCTCAGCCCCTCTTCCTTTGTTTCTCTCGTAGAACCGAAACCGTTTGAAAGATCCCCAGTAGCGCCTCAGATGGAGTTGAATTCCCTGGAAAGTGTTGGGGGGTATAAAGGGAAGGGCACTTGGGGGCGACTAGGTAAGCCCGGTAGCCTCCAGCGCTCAGGCGGCTTTGTCCACTGCAGCGGGTTTGAGTCCCAGGAGCTGAGCCCCAGGCGGAGGGAGGGTCCCGAAGTGCTGGCTCAGGCCGAGGTGGCCCGCGCGGCGCTCGCTCGGCAAGACTGCCTGGAGGGGGTGGGGGCTGGCTGGATGGGAAGGGGAATCGCTCGGGTTGGTCGCGTTTGCGGGTGGCCGGGGATGGAGAGGTAGGGCTGACCTGGGCAGCTGGAGCAGCTGGGAGAGGGAAATCAGTGCATGTGCAGATGCGCTGCCATTTTATTGATGATGCTTCGGGCCACTTTGTTCAGTGCTGGGTTGTAGGACGCGCTTTCCCACACTCGGGACCAAAGGTGCCAGACCCGGAGGACACGCCATTGTTTCCTCATCACCCTCTCTACCCGGGTAGGGGTGAAGAAGATCAGCTCAGACTTAGGAGACGCTTAGGGTGGGGGTAAGCGTGCCGGACGCTCAGAAGCTCTGTTAGTCTAAATTTCAGAGAGAAGGAGGGAGCCAGACCTGGGTTTGGGCTTCGTATTGTGCATGGCCTGGACACCCCATTGTAACACACCCAGCGGGCTTGCAGAGTTTTAAGGACTGGCTAGTGCGCCCTGGGCTAGAGAGAATTCCAGAGGCAGAGTCCGCAGAAAGCAGAGGCAGA